AAGGTTCTTATCTGTTTGTTATGCTTGGCTTTCAGCCACCGAGATTTTGGTTTCTTGCTAATAAAGTGCTATGCAATTCCAGTTAAGCTTGTCTCGGCATTCGTTAATGGACAGAGGAGGGCGTCAGAACATGTATGTATGTATGTATGTATGTATGTATGCATGCATGCATGCATGCATGCATGCATGTATATATCCTAGAAGAAGATTACAGCAAGCCACATCTATCCAGTTGCTGAGAGAATGGCATGAAGCTACCCATGAAGTTTCCATAGAGTTCAACTTGCAGAAATCTTCTAACTTAGTTGTATTGTGCCTTGAATTTTGCTTGTGTCTTTCTTTATTCATTTTCTATCTTCTTTTTCTTCCAATAGCAGCCAGAGGTAAAAGCTTTATCAGAGCCATGTACAGTATTATTAAGCTAACATTTGTTCTACCCTTAAATGGTTAAATAGAATTTTGAATAACACAATATGAAAGAAAGTTGGTTAAATCCAATAAGCACAGATGGAATTAAAAGACTTTTAAAAAAATCTTTATGACAATATTGCAATGGTCATTAATCATATTTTAATTAAATGTTTCCCAGATAAAAGTCTGACTCATTAAGCCACCCACAGATCACTTAACGTTAGAGTCCACCAGCGGTATTTCAGCTAATATAGTTGCATGTACTTGAGTCGATCGAACAGCGAACAGCAGTTTTATCACAAAAAGGGGAATTTTCTGTTCTGATCTGTCCTTTGAAAAAGTATCACCTAAAATTATATCTGCCAATCTACATTAGTTTTAAATAGATTAAATGTATTAGTTTAAGTGAGCACTCTAAAAATAATTAAACTGTTAGTATGCTAATGAAACTTTGCAGAGCACTGACTGACTCCAAAAATACATAATGGAGTAGAGTTGAGGCTGTTTTGAGGGAGGAGCTTGTTACCCACTTCCTTTGGAAGGACACACAGACACACACATGCACACCCCAATAACCTGGACCACACTAAAGGCTGCCCAAGTGACATCCAATCATACACCAGTGCCCCTTCTTTTGTCTTCATTGTCAGTCATTCTGTTGTGTCCGACTCTTGGCAACTCCATGGATCAGTACTCTCCATGCCCCTCTGTCTTACACTGCCTCCTTCAGATATGCTGTGGTCATTTTTTTAAAAAACATATTTTTTATTTCCATTTTCATAACATACCATCACATCAGTGGTGGGTTTCAAAAATTGTTCGAACCTAATCTGTGGGTGTGGCCTCCCTCATGGGAGTGGCTTGCCACCCATGTGACTGGATGGGAGTGGCTTGCCACCCATGTGACT